CGTATAATATGTTATGTATGTGGGTAAGTAATTCTGTTTGAAATAGGGTTTATTTTCTATAATACTCACCTCAGATTGATAAATATTGTAATATATTTTATCAACATGTGTAATATGTTTAAAATTTGGTAGGATAAGTAACTTTCCTGTCGGATTTTGTTACGACATTTGTGCGTGTTTCTTGATTTGTTGAAACTGGATGTTGCATTTTTGTGCCAGTAAAAGATCTATGTTCCGCCATACTGTTTTTTGTAGGTAAATTTACGATCTATGGACATATTTCTAATTACTATAAAATAATCGAAACGTCTTGTGTATGTAGGAAAAAGATGTCCTTTTACCGCATCATTGCGTAAGAATATATATATTTACAGTTTTTTTAAAAAAACATTTCACCCTAAGCAAAGCAATAAAGTCACTAGGACGCAAGAGGCTACTGCGTGTTAGAGAATATGAAAAAAAACTAGTATGCCCAGTACAAGATTAGCAGCAAGGTTGCATCATTTTACAGTTGAAATTGCTAGATGCAACCGTAAGTTCTATGCTAACAGTTTCTTCTATCGCACTTGTCGCTTATTCAATTTCTTCCAGAATCTAGCTTCCCAGTCAACTTTGATCTTCAAAATTTTAAATGCAATGTCAATCGCTATCCACCGTCTTCTTAATTATTGTTTTCTCTCGTTAATAGTTTTTTTTTTCTCATATTCTCTAATACTAAGTCACCCTTTGCGTCTTAGTGGCTTTATTGCGTTGCTTGGGATGAAATGATTAAAAAAAATACTACCGGAAACCGTTCACTATATCTATTATAGCAGTATATGCTTCAACAGTACAAAAAAAAGGAAGAAGAAAATGATAAGATTTATAGGACATTGGATAACGCCGCAACTCAATGCCAATCGCAGAAAATGACCGTCATCATAGAAGTCCTAGATGCTAAAGAAACGAGACGTTGTTATTTGCTACGGAAACCACAGGACTTACATACATATGTAAAGTATCGCAGAAAAGTTCTTTGTTGTCATTTTAGTCTTTTAGAGAATCTTTAAAACAAGAAATTTGAGAATTTCTGGTCTATTTTATTCGGTTGAGCTAGCTCTGAAATTCATGAATCTATTTCCTATGTAGGAAAGAGATGTCCTTTTACCGCATCATTGCGTAAGAATATATATTTACAGTTTTTTTCAAACATTTCACCCTAAGTAAAGCAATAAAGCCACTAGGACGCCAGAGGCGACTGCGTGTTAGAGAATATGAAAAAAAAAAAAAATACTACGCCCAGTACACGCCAATATATTGAACGGTTTCCGGTAGCATTTTTTTAAAAATCATTTCATCCCAAGCAACGCAATAAAGCCACTAAGACGCAAAGGTTGACTAAGTGTTAGAGAATATGAGGAAAAAAAATATTAAGGAGAGAAAATATGCCGAAAAAACAAACCAAACCAAAGGACAGACCGGGTTCTATAGCCTTGGATGGCAACTGGTCTACCGCAAAATGAAATGCCGAACCTACTGCATGAAAAAATCTGCCTCGTCAGTCATGTATCGAAAGATTCATGATCGCCTAAGCGTGTATCACGCATGGCACGGCCCTGCATCAAGGAAGGTCATTAGAGTGGCATTCTGTTTCAGAACAATAAAAGAAGAATTAAGAAAGCAGTAGATAACGATTGACATTGACATAGCTGGTCAATGTAGGGGATTAGTGGGTGACCAACCCATCTTGCGCCATGTCCAGAACAGTAGATCACTCGCATTTTGTTCGACAGTGTCCAGTGCTCATCTGCGTTCGCCTAAGATTGTAGAAATATCAGGGATGCATTCATAGAGCCGTAATTTAGTTGGATGTCGTCGCCAAAAGATGTTAAGTATATCTCTCAGCATCCGAGTGTAGGTTCCATCAAGCTTAGATTAAATGGTTTTATTTAATGTCCAGGCATGGCATCATACATTAACATCGCCTCTACAGTGGCTCGAAAGAATCTCCGCTTGTGGTTGTCTGATTTCCAGATTACATCCATTTTATTCAAGGTGGTCCAGGCTTTAGCTATACGAATTTTCACATCCTTTTCAATAGAATTTGCCTCGCTACCAAGACATGAAAATGATTCAAACGTTTTTATTGATTCACCTGAGACAATTTGTATGAATTCAGTTTTAGAGGCATTGACGTAAACAATGAAAAAATATCCGCATTTTAAAACTAATTCAAAAACACGATTGGTTTCTCTTTAAAAAATGTTTTCGTGAAATTGGATGATTGCTTCGTGCAGTGAAAAAACAAATAGTCAATAATCTATAGGGGGTCTGTAATGCTGAAACTCTTTTCCTAATATTAATCTTTTAAAAAAAACGTTTTTCTATACTCTGTGTCTTTGAGAAGGAATGGTTACGTCTTAATTTTTCGATTCTTTTCTCATCGAGTTTTGTTCGATCGAAGAAATTGAAAAATCTGCTAAAATGTCCATCACGTTTATAATTCCAAATCTTTGTGTCACACCGGGGGGTCCCTGTTTAATGTACAGAAGTGGTCAACAATTTTTTTTTTTTACAATGACATCCACCTTGTATAATGCCTTGGTCTTTTTGTCAACCGATGCTGGTTGAAATATAAAGGAACACTAAATCTAGTACTACTGCTCAGTTTTCACTTTCCAGTCTTCGCGTCCTTGTGGGTGATGAACTATTTTCCACTCTTCAATTCCTTTCTTACAGACAAAAAAAAACACGAGCCTCTAATTGTTCTATCGCTATTTCCATGGAATGTTTTCAGACGAACTACATTCCTTAGTTTCACTAGTTCTAACCTTCACAACTAAAGACACTCCATGCCACGCCCATTGTAGGGCCGTCCTGGGTAAGACGATAAACTACGTCCAGCAGCAAGGCCTCTGATCAGGAGGTTTTGAGGAGCTTGGAACCACCTCTTAATTGCTGGTGTTCCCAGGTCCACCCTGACCCAGGGTGGTAGCACCTGTTAGGGTCCCAGCTATGGGAAAATAGTTAACCCCCAACCTGGGGTCAAAACACAATGAAAATGTAAAAATAGGCATAATACCAAAGATACTTTGTTAAAAATATTACTAGCTATACATATACATAAATATTATCAGCAATCAAAATTGTCGGCATTAAATAACCCACTGTGGTTGATATGCCGTAAAACAAACCAAACCAAACCATTGCAGTGAACCACGCCCATTCCCCTCCTATTCTACTTACATCTCACCTATGAAGCAGTTTCTTCGACGAACCGCTGCTTTGTCTAATCGACTCCCAAGTGGATGCTTCACAACAATCTTAACCCGTTCGAGTCTATCTTCACCACATACACTCATAACTGTGCCTCTTAATCTGTAACCCTTAATTATGGGTGGCTCAGGGTGAATATTATCGTAAGAATAACTATAAGAGATCGATAAACAACCGGTATTCTCTTTCTACATTTATTTATTTTTATGTGCCATGCGTGATACACGCTTAGGCGATCATGTATCTTTCGATACATGACTGACGAGGCAGATTTTTTTATGCAGTAGGTTCGGCATTTCATTTTGCGGTAGACCAGTTGCCATCCAAGGCTATAGAACCCGGTCTGTCCTGCTAGTCATACCTTTCATAGCACGTAAGTGAATGTAATAGATTCGACTGGAATTCGATTAAAGACATTTAAGAATTATTTGAAAAATCTGTTAAATTCCTCAATCCGAGCCGCTATCCATTACTCCACTATATTACGGAACTTTATTCAATCGAATACAGCAGGGGGTCCGCAAGATCAAGATAGGGGGTCCGTGGACAGCAAAGACGTTTATAATGAACTGGAAGAACTGGTGGAAATTTCATGCGACATAACTTTAAAAATCAGTTTTGTGCAGCAACAACTTTTGAAATTCTGGCTCACTGTAGCCTCCGAGTAGCCATTGTTATCTCGAAAGGCAGTTAAGATTTTGTTACCGTTTGCAACAACATATTTATACGAATCAGGATTTTCGGCACTAACCAATCTGAAAAACAAATACAAATCCAGACTTGCTCCAGAAAGTGACTTACGTGTATGTTTATCAGTAATATCGCCAAGAATTGACAGTTTGTGCAAAGCCAAACAAGCACATCCTTCTCACTAAGTGCGTATTAAAATATCCTGTGTGTGTAATTGACAATAAAACTATTTGTTACTGTTTTCATTTACATGTAAAATTAATATTTTAATATAACAAAATTTAATTTTGTTACATTTTGCAGCAACATGCAGCATTAATTTATTTGAACACTTATGTCTAAAGTAAGATTTAAACCAGCTTTTATTGCATTAATGCAAAACTATATGTTATATTCAGCAAATATTTATGTATAAATTTCATAAGCGTTTATAAGGGAGTCCCTAAGGTAAAGCCTAAAATATAAAAGGGTCCGCAAAGTCAAAAAGTTTGAAAACCCCTAGAATACAGCACGCGTGTTTCAATTATAATCTGGAAGTAACAGACAAGTGACTGGCGAAGAATTCATAGAATTTTAATTATCTTTATTTTCAGAAGTCTTAATGGAGGGAGCCGTTCCCTTACTATTTGGCTATGTCATTGGACGCTAGCTTTAATTCGGTCGAAGGTGAATTCGCAGTGCCGAGTTACATTCGTCTTCCAAGGCAGATCAGGTGGCGAATTATTTTAGCTGCGAAGAGATCCGGATTATATTGAGAATTCAGACAAAGGCAATTAATCATTGAACTCCGGGGAAATTACATGCAGCCTCCGACGATTGATGTTCTCTGTGCGTTATATTATTAATACTTATCTTTACCTAGAGACTCTAATATTCAAAATCTTATCTCTTTTCTTAGCGCTTGACATGTTGTTACTTTCCTATGGGACCACTTCGGGTCAATAAATTAATTTCTCTAAGAAAAATATTAATATCTAGCTCTGGATGGACGGTCAATTCTGAGTCGTTATTTTCCGTCACAATATCTAACATTTTTTTTTTTTTTTTTTTGCCAGGCATATTTTTTGTCCCCGCCCCCATATTCTGATTCAAAGATCATATTTCTCTCTCTCTCTCCCCTTTCCTCTGTCTCTTTCTCTCACTCTCCTCTCCCCTCTCTCTTTCTGTCCCTTTCCTCCCCACTCCCTGTCTCTTTCGTTTCCTCTCTCTTTTTCTCTTTCTTCCCCCCTCTCTCTTTCTTCCCCCCTCTCTCTTCTACTCTCTACTTTTTTTTCTCTCTGCGGGCCGTTTCTCTGATGCAAGCTATTCATTGGGTGAAAAACACCCTGAGGCCAGGTCACAGGTGTGGGAAAAGCCGCCTTGAAAGGTTAACACCCTAACCCATAAGTTAACTATTTAAAGTATCTTAACTAGAAGTGGTTATTATTGATTAGTATGTAAAATCTAACAGACGTCTTTTTTCCACAGTGAAGCTGGATTTTCTTTAAAACTTTGTGAGATTACCCCAACATTTCTAACAGGGGATTTCTGCTAAAGTCCGCTAGGTGGCGTTATAAAAAAAAATTAGGGAGTAGACAGTTCTCGTTATACTGCCCATGCCTAGAGATATCCCGTCCATGCAAGTAAATTAAATAAAGGGTTAAGTTCAGAATTCCCTGTAAGTTACCCGGATCGACATAAACCTGATGAAGGCCGGGGACACAACGTCTGAAACGTTATGATACGATAAGGGCAATAGTCCCAAAATAAATAATGTTGTAAATAATAACGTCTGTGTTTAGCTTGCAAAACCTAATAATTCAGATTGTTTGTTAAATAATAATAATAATAATAATTGTTCTCACGAGTACAACCGACACCTTACGAAGGGCTTTATCTAGGTACCTCCAAAAAATTATACCCAAGGTTTAAGTGTATTTTTCATAAATAAAAAAAATCATTTTTGAAGCTTTCCCACAGTTTCAATTGAAAGCTAAAGAATTAAATTTTCTAATTCCAGAAAACAAAACACTGTACTCAATGTAAAATATGTGTGTGTGTGTGTGTGTGTGTGTGTGTGTGTGTGTGTGTGTGTGTTTAGTTGGTCAGTGGAAAATGCCATAACGCCATTTCTAACCTTACGTCTCTGGCATTTATCTTGAAAGAAATAAAATACACACCAGAAATCAAAGGAAATAATAATAATAATAATAATAATAATAATGTTCATAAAAAAAAATAATAATAATAATGATTTTCAAAAAAACAATAATAATAATAATAATAAAAATAATAATGTTTATCAAAAAACAATAATAATAATAATGTTTATAAAAAAAAAAAAATAATAATAATAATGTAGGTACCACCACAGAAAGCGCGATACCTAAGATTTAAAATTATTTTTTTAAAATGGAAAAGCTTTCTTGGAGCTTTTATTTTAGTTTTAATTTCATGCTAATAGATATTTAATGCTAATAGATGTTTAATATTTCCAATATGCAAAATAATTTTCTTTATTTCAAAAACTAATTTAAATTGACTGATGAGGATTTTTTTTTTGTTTTTTTTTGCTAAAAATAGCTGATTGGCGCCCCTTTTTTAGTCGTCTCTCATCGCAATATAATTCTTTTTATTAAAAAGAATTAATTATCTATATATAATCTTATATATCTTATATAATTAATTAAGGAATTAATATCCCTGATTCAAAGTGTCATTAATCTGAATGAAACAACTATTATTTACTTTAAGTTTAAATGCATTTTCTAACCCAACAGTAGCTTTTTCTTTAAGGTACTGGCGGGTTTGACAGCTTGATGACATTTTTAGATAAAGTTGTTCTATGGCGGATTTAGGCGCTAAAAAAGTCATTGAATTAACGTGGGCGCCTTTTATATATAATTTTTAAGTACTCAATGATCTTAAAAATTTAAGAAAATAGCCTCCGTATGCGTAATCTAATTATTGAATTTTAGATACTTTCTGGCTTTAAATATACTATAGTTATCGCTCTTATTTTCTGATAATGTCGTGTATGGTCGACCGTATCTACAAAAATCGGCACATTTATATACATATAAAAAATTCAAAATTCCTTTAAAAGTATTGATGTTTGACGATTTGTACTAAACCTTCCATTTATGATTAGTAAATATAGTTTTTACTTAATAATATGTTATAGACAAGCGTATGGTTGCAAGAAAGAAATACGACAACAGCAGAAATAGATTTACGTGGTTTATTTCAACAGGAACGTGTGGGTTTGGGACAGCTACCTTGTGGTATAGTTCATAAGCCGGCTTCGGATCTAGGTCGATCTCTCATAGTAGTTCACACATGTTGACGGTGGTTGACGCTCCCCTGCTGCCAGCAGCTGAACGTGACAGGTCTCTATCCTGGACACCTGTGGACTGCCTGTTGAACTTCCGTGTGACCCCTTTTATAGCGTTGTTTTATGGCTTAACAGGCTCGAAAAACGAAGCGAGTATAATTAGGAGGGAAGCATTTTTATTGGACGAAAAATAGAACACTTTAAATATTATTTTATTTTTCGACCGGAACATTTGTAAATGAAGATAATGGTCATTTTGTGACGGGGTTTTGTCCCGTTCACATCCGGCTCTCGCTCTTGCGTATATGCCTGTAAATCAGCCGAGATATGTCTTATTTTATTTTATAACAATAGTAATATCTAAAAAGGAGAAATTAATACAGAATTTTAGAAGATTTAAAACTTAATAAATTATTTTGTAGGGACACAGAAGGGGATTATCTCTCTTTGGTGGAGATAAGTCAAATAGATGACGTCACTTCATACAGTGATGAAAGTGGTCAGTCATTCAGTCAGTAAGCTTCAATTCCATTGTGCCGTTTCTCTTTGAGAATATCTCTTTCCCAAATATAGAAATCTCCGGCTCGCAATCCTTAATTTGGGAGAACGCAAGACTTGCCGTTTCGCCTTCGTGGAATATGTCCCGTGGAATCCGGCCCATTTGAATCTGGAGAAACACAAAAGAGTCTCCATATTGTATGTAAGCTCCTACTTTTTTTTGTTTCTCCTTAGACACTTCTTGCTCTGTAGATTGATAATATATTGTTCTCCGCGTGGGACACGTATATATATATATATATATATATATATATATATATATGAAGAAATATAGTCTTAAGGTGTGCTATATTTATGGGATAAAGTGCTCAATATCAGAGATAGAGCGTGTGTAAATATAAAAGTGAACATAGAAGTCAACACTTAGAGGCGGCAGTCTGTTTCATGCTATATGCAATCGTCATATATATATATATATATATATATATATATATATATATAAGCATTTCACCCAAAGCAAGGCTGGAAGCCACTAGCAAGGGGTTACATAGGAGCGAGAGCAAATAGGAGTGATAGAGGAAAGGATGAAGAGAAGGATAGTGGATAGATCAAGGCAACTGGAGATGTCTATTGACATATATATATATATATATGTGTGTGTGTGTGTGTATTATATATTCGTCTCTTCAAAAAGTGTGGATGGTCCTGCACGAAGCCTTCACCACTATAACCAAATCTCATGTGCCGGTGTCGGGCTGTCGGTTTCCTGGAAACTGATCTGCTTGACCCTCATACGTCGAATATCGACGGGAGAGTCGACTATATATGTATATATATATATAGTCTTGTGTGTGTCTTAGTGGTATAAAAGTCTCTCTGAGAACAAAACATTCTTTTTCCTTTTAACTATTCTGTTCTCTCCGTGATATATTTTTTCTAAAAAAAATTATATCAAGGATATAATAATATCCATAATGGGGGTTGCGTAAATGGAAGGCTGAAACTTTCTACCCTATGTCTCCCTGTTATAACACTAATTAAATTTTTAAAAAAATGAAAACAATTCTTATAAAAATTCATTATTCATCGAAAAAAATTATCTTTAAGACAAGAGTGTCCTTAATATATCTTATTTATAAAAACAATTAAAAGCTTTTCTAATTAAATAATATCACAGTTTTTCTAATTAAATAATATCACAGTTTTTCTAATTAAATAATATCACAAATATAAAATATCAAATAATATATTCGGATGAGAGACCACAGAGTAACGCATGCATTTTTTATTTTACCATTCAGGGCAGATTTTGATAAATGGTGTTTCTGTTTGACAAAAACAAATTGATGATTTAAAGTCTCCAAAGAGTCCTGCTTTCAACTAATATATATATAAAGAGGAAGGAATTTTAATTTCTCAAAATTTCATAGAATTAAAAGGGAGGATAACAGATGTAAAAACAAGATTTTTATCAAAATATTCTAAAAAAAAAAAATATTAAAAAAATAATTTCATTCATTTGTGAATAAATCCTGAAAATTTATTTAAAATACGGCAATTATTTGATTTTTGCAATAATTTCCAAAACAACGTGTTTTTAACGCAAAAAAAAGACGCTAAAAATCCCTATTTGGCCCACCCACTGACGCAAAAAAAACGATTTTTATTAAAATTTCGAACTAGAAAGGATTAAAAATTTAACAAAATAATCAAAAAATACTTTGGTCTTTCTTCTTGATAATAACAAACATTTTGAATATAAAACTTTGTTTTTATCAAGTTTTGGAGGTACCTATAATGCTTATCAAATTTTCATTTCAGCCATAAAATATATTTGTATTCAAAAGGACACTTGATTATAAGAGACGTATTTATTAATAGTTTCATGAGTTCATTAATATAAAAAAATACTTTCGTGGTGTTTCCGTAAAACTATATATATCACTCCAGATCGTGTCAGAATAGACTTTGTATATTGTTCAGGTCTTCACAGCTATGTCCCGCCAGGCAACGTACTTTACCGCAAGTACCCTTCAGAAAAATAATGTGCAGGGTTAGCCTGATAGATGACCTGCTGGGCAGTAAGTGGAGACCCACGTGATCAGTACAGCTTCAACTGGAATGCATGCATGGGAAAGAACCGTCTGACAGATATATAAACGCCCATCCCAGAGAAGAGGAGATCAGTGACATTGCAGACGAGAATTGAAGGTTCATACTTCGGATGAGCGACCACAGAGTAACGCATGCGCTGACTGACAGTTCCTTGAATTTTCACCTATTGCAATGAATGTTGTATTCTCACAGAGAAGGTCCATGCCTTGAGCGACTAGTGGGACTCAAACCTCAAATGGAATTCGTACATACGATCCATTGCTAAAGATGCTGGAAAAAAGGTCGGTTCTTCCAGTAACTACCTGACTCCTCCTGCTATCTTCCTATCTTTACAAAAGCCAGTTCAGGCCTAAAATTGAGTACTCATGCTAAATATGGGCAGGGGCTGCCCAGTCTTTCCTTACCGGTCTCGATAGAGTTCAGAAGCGTCTTCACGTCCTTGTGGGTGACAAT